TTTTTTTTTTGCATAGCTTTTGAAAGGTTACCTCCTAATACTTATTTAAAATAAATTGCCCTTTAAATTTTATGGCTACCTTAATTTTTTAAATAAAAAGATTTAAATTTTATAAATATCTTCAGGCATGCAATAGTTGTCCATGTACTGACATATTTATCATAAATAGGTAACTATAATAAACGCATACACTCAAAATGCAAGACATTCATATTTATGAATACATATGTAAGTATATACAACTTAATTATAAAAAATATCAAACATAATAAGTATACATATATGTAAATAAATAACTAAAGGGTGTGATTTAAATCGAATTCCGGCAAATAAATAGCCAAATTAATAAAATAAAATAAAATAAGTATTTGAAGTCGTAGTAACATCCACGACTCTAATACGTACGTCTCTAAAGAGATGATTTTGGTGCTGAGTTGGATGAAGTTGGTGCTGTAGTGAGTTTACAACAACAGTAGGCGGTAGTGCGGTAGAACGATTGTGCACAATATTATTACTGTTATTGTTATTATTATTCATACTGATATTGTTATTATTTAGATTAGTGGTGCTGGTGGTGCTGGTATTGTTCGTGCTGTTGGTGCTAGTAAAAATGGTCGCCAGCGAAGATCCAATCGGTGCTGGATAGGCGACGGCTGCAGCAGTTGCACCATTGGCAGCTATAAAATGTTGCGGCAACATGGCATGCTGTTGAACCAGAGTGGCCGATTGCAACATTGCTTGCTGCTGTTGTTGTGCCTGATTTGATGTTTGTTGTTGTTGCTGCAGCAACTGCTGCTGCTGTTGTTGGTGCTGTGGATAACCATTTAATATGATTAGCTGTGGTTGCGGCTGCAACTGTTGCTGATTACTAGTGATAAGCGTCATTGCTGTGGCTGCCGGTGCAACGGTGGCCATATTGCCGGCTGTGAGCATTTGTGTAGCATTCATTGCGTTGGCTGCCTTTTCCATGGCCAATGCGTCATTGTTTTGGTTGTTGGTAATGCTGTGGTTGTTGTTATGCTTGGCAATGCCGCCGCAAGCAGAGGTGTCGTTGATCATTTTGGTTTTAGCAAATTCGATGCGAATCGAACCGCGGTCAGAGGAGAGCAAATACTTGCCCTGTAATTGTTGCATGGCTGTTGCAGCGCTAACGGTGTCTTTGAACTCAATAAATGCCACTGGGTGACTAGCATTGCTACCACTGCTGTTGTTGTTGCTACTAATTGTGTTGTTGTAATTAATATTGTTAGGTCCAGGATAGTTTGCTATTGCTGCTGCATTAGAATCGGTAGAAGTTGTGCTTGTATTGGTGACATTGGTGATGGTGGAAGTAGTAGTAGTAGAAGTAGTAGAAGTGAAATTGTGCGAACCTTTTGTGTGCATTCGGAGGCGACAAAAGCCAGGCATACTGTGTGTGTGTGCAATTTTTTAGTCAGTAAGTAACAAATCAAATTCATAATTATGTACGTAATACTTAAATGTATGTATTGATATAACTACAAATATATTTCTAAACAAAACAAATCACTGCAATACACTTTTATTGTAGTTGAAATAATGGTATGCATTGAGATAGTTAGTATGTATGTATTTATATGTATGAGTTCGTTCAAAGAAGAATGGTAGTTGTGTGAAAGTAATTAAAAGACCAAATGTTTGTTACAAGTGCCGTTTTAAAATTAAGTATGAAGTAAGTAAGTGTGTGTATTTGATGATAAGCTCGAGTTATACGAATGTTGCCAAGCACACGGAGCATGTTGGTAATTAAAATAAACTGAGCCACAATAGGGATACCTAAAAAGAAAACGCTGCAGAGAAATTCGCGGGCCTTTCCAACTTGAGCTGCTCATGAGCGAGCGAGATGTCGTAACCAACCGGGGTGGAGCTTTGGGCGACGACAGAAAAGAACGTCGTTTGGTGGCACCACTCTGATTTATTTGGCTTCAGGGCTCATGGAAATCAGCAGCTGACATTTGAAGGGATACATATTTGGTGTCGGATTTGTGATGGAAGAGGGACTTCGTTGCCAAATACTGTCCCTCACACTCCGGGCCACAAGTGTTTCGCCACAATCCGCATGAAAATAAGATTCTTCAATAACTCGGCTACATGCGTAATAGTCTTCCGACGCAAAAGAAGGATTATACGACCAAAGATCACTTTTATTAGCTCTTAGATAGTACTTATGAGCGCTGCCCGTACTGTGACATAAAAAACGTGATAGGGGATTTTAATTCCTGCGTGCACAAAAAGATAGTTTCTGCTCGTTCTGTTGAAAAACCAAGCCGAGCGAGCCCGAGCTGTGATAGACGGAAGACACACGTAGGGCTGCCAACTATCTTTAGCTATGAGGTGCCATACTGAGGATAAAAAGTGCCAAATAGTAAAATAAAAGAGCCAAAAGGGGCCATCCTTTTTAATCCTTTCCATTAAGCAATAAAATAAGAACCAATTTTCTAAAATAAAAGTGCAATGCCATAATAAGATAAACCAGTTGAATAGTCTTTAGAAATTAGAAAATTTTATTTGAGAAAAAGAAGTACAATGGGCGAGCAATGGGATCGGATGTTTCGTTTATTAAATGCAATTCGTGAAACGTGCACGAGTTTTGTAAGTGAACTCTCATATTGTTCAAACAATTTTGTAATTTTCGTAAAATATCAGAGCGAAGAATATTGAAATTACGTTCTTTGTTGCTTGCTAATCGTGAACTGTCATGAAAAAGCGCGAAACAAGCAAACGGGCGTATTCACACTCAAATACATTTACAAGGTGCCATGGTATGCGTACGCATACCGACAGATAACTTACACATCTGTTGTTGGAGCACTTCGGACCTATAGCGCCATTTGTTGTTCGGTGGAGTGAAAGCATTCGCCAAAGATGCGTCTTTTATAAAAATAACAATTATGGACACCAATACTCTCGATACAATCAATATTTTAAGTCTGTCACTAAAGAAATATCGTTCAATATCGAGATAATCGTGTATCGATATTTTCGAGCTCTTACACAAAGGTGTTGCCACAGCGTGAAGTGATTTCCTATTTAGTCTAATTTAATAAATGCGAAATTCGATTCTATCTTCGACGAACTTCGAAATCTATTTACATTGATCCGAATATATCAGAAAGGAATTAAAATCATTTCCTATTTGTAGTGTGTGTGAGCCTGTATAACACTTAAATAGCGTATAGTCCATGTATTCTTACAGTGTTGTTTTTTTTTCGTATGTGCTATTCCTAAACGAAAAGTAAATTCTCGTAGAGAGGGGAGATTCATGGAAGATCGTTACTATACCGAATATTAAATCTGAGTCGAGATACGTGTGTGTATGTTATGGCTTTTGGTAGTGCATGTAAGTTAATCAATATTTAAATAAATTATTTGCTTGTAATATTTTCATAATGTGTTAGAAGAAATGTTTATAAAAAGGAAAAATTATGTCTTATGTTTGTAGTAATTCAAACTGAATGTGCGACTTCATTGACCATTGATTGTAAACTCTGTATACATATATTTCCTAATAAAATTTTGTGCGCAGGTGATAGACAAATTTATAATATGTATTACTTATGTTATGTATATATGTATATACGTTATAAATACAAATGATTCATCTAATGTACATATGTACATACATATACATATGTATCAACATTACACTCACCTGGAGAACACCTCTTTGAGTTCATGTTCGGACACGAATTGTCCCAAATTGGCGACAAATAATGTCGAGCAGGGAGCGTTTGCGGCTAATGGCGGATTTGATGGATGCGATGGATTATTCGAGGAACCGACTGGACTTGCCAGAGCGGGGCTCGATAAGAAATGATGGTGTGCTGTGTGGCCGGTTGGTGGCGGTCCCGGGGGGCCAGTGGCAGCAGCAGCAGTGGACATGTGCATGGCTGTTGGATGAAGAGTTGTTGCTTGTTGATGATGTTGTGTCATTGCGGTCATTTGGGTCTGGGTATGCGGGAGAGTAAAATGAATGCAAGAGAAAAAATTGCGATTACTTAAGAAAATCGGTGAGAATTATCAAGCACGCGCCGGTGGACAGTCGGTCATACTCACTTGATGCATAGGCTGTTCCATAACTTTGTCTGTATTTAGTCAGAGGTAAGAGCGTACCGGCACCTGCGGATGAAGGGCTGGGTGCACTAGTGTTGCATGCTGCAAGGCAGCAGCTCCGGGTAGTTCAGCGGCAGCTGCCGAGTAGGCTAACGGATGATGCCATAATTCCGGCCCGCCTGGAAAGAATGGTCCACCCAAATCTAAGTGTTGTGCAGAAAGAGAGAAATTGTTTTTTGTTAGAGAACAAATTCGCTTCGGTGCAAACGAATGGAAAGCAACTAAACGAAGAATATGCAAAATAGTGGAAGAAACCAAAAAGAGAATTGAGAGTTTTTATGTATATTCGCTGTGAAAATTAAGTATGTATTTAGATATTTTATATTTATACATTTTCCTTTAATTTAGCTTTCACTTAACCTTTTAGTATTATTATTTATTTAATAGGATTGCTGATAACTGATTGTGCATTCAAGATATAAATTTGTTTGAAAATAGAATACATGACAAGAGCGCATTTAGTCAAGTACATCTACCCCAATTTTGGAAGACTGTATTAGTTCCAGCTGAAGTAAATGCTTATCTTGCTTACTGCTCTAAGTATTCGATGAAAAAACACATACTATAAATTAAGTTGTTCAAAAGTCATACATAATAAGTTTTTGGAATATCGAATACTTTATTTATTGTAACCACCAATTTTTTCAATTAAAATTGATTTTGGGGCTCTAAGTATTAGTTTTCACTTCTAATTCAACTACTGCATTACATGGAGGTTTTTATTCAGTTTATAATATGCGATATTGATGTCGCACAATGGATGGAACAAGCTTTTACGCCGCACAGTATTCTATTTTGGAAAAGGGGCAAAAAATCAAACAAATCAAAATCGAGAGGTGATAGCCAAATAAATGCAACGAAATTTTAAATCATTAGTAATAATAACATTTTGGTGCTTGCACTTTTGCTAAGTGTTTGGCTGGTGTTTTAACACAAATGGGGGAACCTACAGTTTCATGCCGCCTCCAATTGGCAAATGGATTTTATGAGAAGCTTTATTATGGCAGAAATACACTCGGAGGTTTGCCATTGCAAGCGCCGCCCCTCGGCTGTCGGGAAAAACTTTTTATAATTTTGATTTTGCCTCGACCAGGTTCTACGGAATGGTAGTGCGCAGCTCTAACCACTCAGCCACTGCGGCCGTCTGTTGTAATGAAAAAACTCAAAACCGACCTTCAAAGTAAATTTTTTCTGTAAAAACACTTTTTAATAGATTTCTTGACGTGAGAACAACAATCATATGCCTTTCACACTTTTGAAAAGCTCATTGCTTACTGGTTTCGAGTAAGAAGTATTAAAAAATATAGATCCTTCTATTTTTGAAAGTCATTTTACATATCGAAGTAATTCTTTTATCTAACGATGCTATTTTGTATCAGTTCTCCATTCAAATGCTTTAAAATGCCGTTACATTTATTTCTCGATCCCTTGTGATATTTGATTTCGTTCCTTTTTGCCAAAATATAACACAGTGCACCGCCTGCGAATGGCTGATGCGAAGACTATTCTTGACATCTCTAAAATTTTCCATTGTCTACCGAGGGGCCAATATCATTGGAAAAACCCTTTTCTTTCATTGCGAGTTGCACTGTTTAAATTCTAATCTGGGTTTGGTGAGCAACGTTCTATAATAATTTCTATTTCCAATTAGATCCGAATAGTCGAATTAAAGTAAGTAATTTTCTTCACTTTAATAAAGAGATGAAATTGAAAAATATTATATTTAATAAGCCCTGGGATTTTCAAATTATTTGGAGAACGGTTCAAAAGAAATTCTAGATCACTTCTATAGAAAACTTCGTTTAAGTACAGGGAAGGGCAGTCAAACCTGTTACTTTTGTAAATAATTTGGCCCAAATAAATCTTTAATGACTTTTTGAAAACTGCAGTACTGGATGCAAAGATGTATGATAAAATCGGCAAACTAAAGAAAAGTGTTTTAACTTTTATTTTTTTTACTTGCAAATTTATGTAACTGTTTTCAATTGAAAAAATTATGGAAATTTTTTGGCAGTACTTAGGGAATATAATAGACTAGTTTCATCGGGCCTAGACTGCGGTTTAAGCTTAAATCAGTCCACAATTGAGAAAACTTACATGTGTGTGCTGTTTTTTTAAATATCTTAATTGCGTTTGGAATAGTGTTAGCTCAATTTTGCTGGTCTTAAAGAAAATGTGCGCAACCGTCGCTACCATGTTAAGGCACATTCACATATATACACTGAGAAAAAAAATGAAGACCCTATCGTGTTGGTTTCAAACAAAAAGGCATATGATTTGGCGCTCAGAAGTATTTTGTTTAGCTTTAACATTTCGCACATCAAGATCTAAAGTAAGTCAATTCAAAAATCAGATCCGAAAATATAACTGCCTGTGGATCGTATAGATTCAATACGGTTAATGCAAAAACAGCTACGACAGACGTTTTTTAGTTAGTGTTTATAATCATTAAGATACAAATATTAGCGTTAATTGGATGTAAGTTATACGAATTGATTTATGCAAAAATCGTCCTAATTTTTAATAGGTTTCCGATATATTTGTTTGTGCTATTCTGCACACTCAGCTACGGCCATATTACGTAAACCCTTTTTCAGATGTTAAGTTTGAACCAAATTTAATAAAGTGATTCGAACTATATTGATTTCAAATGAGAATGAATTGGTTTGCAATTTCCTATTTGTGTTAAAAAATTTCAAATTTGCTAACATGAAACAACCGAAAAAGACGAATTTTCTCACAGAAGTTTACTTTCACCCCTACTTATAGTATTTAAAACAAGATTTTTACTCACACGAAATTTATTTTCTTATAATTTATCTTTACAATTTAAAATAAAATCATATCGTCACTTCGCTGAAGTTTTTTTATGCGGCGTTTTTCGCGGTCAACTTCGTGTCTAGTAATGATATGTTGTATTCTTTTCTACCTGCAACCAGTTTAGGGTTAGTTGATAGTGTGCATATACAGGTTGTCCCAAATGTCTTTTGAAATTTTTTTCACCTATTGTGCGAGCGGAACAGCTACTCCTAGCCACGTCTTTAGTCGCTATGGAACGTTTCTCAGGAATGGTAAGTGTCTTAAATGATTATGAAAGTTCTATAAAGCGCATTATACGTAAAGATGTGTATCTACATCCCTAGAAGGAACAGTTGGTTCATGAAATGAAGGTATGAGAGTACATGCCGTAGAGTAGTCAGAAATTTTGGTTCCCGTTACACTAAACTAATACATTATTTCATTATTACTTTTTTATTTTGAAAACTAATTTTGGGACATCTTGTACTTCATATAATGTTGACTCTTTGACAGTTAGTTAAACAAATAGAATGTACATTGTACTTCGCATTTTATGAGAATATATAATCTTAGATAGAAGTTTGCATCTTAAGTCTTTTGTATTTTGCTCTCGCGGTCGCATAAGTTTTACTCAGCGGAGAGCAAAATATTTCGATAAGTAGACTCCACGTGGTTTATGATTAATTTGGATGATTGATTTATTTAAAAATGAACACTTAAAAAAATAACAATTATTTATTTCTATAGTCTTATGCACTCGTCCGAAATAAGCGACGAAATCTAAAATTTAACAATAAGTTTCGCCTTAAATACTAAATTAAGCTGTAAGAGTTTCCCACCAACAGGAAAATGCAACATTTAGTGACAAAAATATTAATAGAATGCACCGCGATTGCATAAATTTGCGCTGTCTATATTATTGAATGTAAATTGAGATCGCGTGTTTTGTACGATTTTTGCGCAGTGTATCAGCTGTGTTTGCATTTGTGACTGTGTTGGTTTTTGTTTATTTTTAATGCTGATAGTATCTTGTGGCAGTAGTGGTGGGTGTTGTAGTGGTTGTGATGGTGATGGTGGTGGCGGTGGGTGGCGTTAGTGACAAACCACTTTGTGAAATCAGTGCAGAAACATTTTGTTTGGGGCTTGAATATACTCATTTCAATATAAAGGGGAGCTTGATTTCCTTGTTATTAACTTTTCATATTTATTACTTAAATTTATGTATGTGCTCTAAAGCATTTCTGTTTTTTTTGGGGAAAGTGTGTTAATTCCGTTTGATTCAGAACGCTTTTTATAGAAATATGGGAAATTAATTAAGTGCGCTTTTGTCATAGAATTCAGTTATTAAAGATATACATACATATGTATTTGTAACTTTTTATACATCAACAACATACTTCGTTTAAATATATTTATATACTTACAACAAATACATAGAAAGAGCAAAGAAAAAGAACGATATAAAAGTAAAAATTGCGAAATTAAAAACAAAAACTAAAATTAATAGCTCTACTACATGAATACATACAAAACTAAAAGCAAAAATAAAGAGTTGCATTTAACATTTTATTGCTTAACATTTCTTTGCCATTTCATTTATAAGTTTTATTTCTTCTTTTTTTTCTCTTAACATTCTTTACTTACGTCCAGTGAGTGGGTGCATCAATGCAGGATGTGAGGCTGTTGTCGCTGTATTGGGCTGTGGTTTGGGTTTGCTCACTTTCGTGTTACTCTTGGCGAATTCCAAGCGAATTGTTTGGGGCATATCGGGATCGAAGCGTACACCCTGCTGCAAATGAGCGGTACGTCGGATAGTAATCGACTTTGCAATTATTTTGTGTTCATATTGTTTTTTTATTTGAATATATTTAAAAATTTTCATAAGAAATCCAATGGAATAAATTTTATGTATAGTAAACTGTTTTGTTATGTTTTCTTGTACATACATATATACATGCACGTATGTATGTACATATGTACGCATATTCAAAATTGGGACAGTTATTTTTTGCTGCTTTGTAATTAAATTTAAAAATTTTCTGTTCTTTTTCGAAATGGCCCTTTAATTTAAAAATTACTAAAAACGCGTCAATTCGCCAAAAATATTTATTTATGTAAACACTTTTCTAGCTTAAAAACTTTGGTGTAATTTTAAGAGAGTAATAAGTATAAAAGCTACACTGTAAATTGGGTAAAATTACTAAGAAGGCACAAACAGGGTGAAACGGGCATATTCTTCTACTATTGTATGTTTGTATGTAGGCAGCATTAAAAATTTGATTGCTGTGATTTTTACATTGGACGATATAATTATATTGAAAGTGTTAATGTGTGCGTAAATATATGATTGCTTGTATTTGCCTAGATTCGTTGTAAGTTTGCAGTAGCCGCTATTTCTATCTTAAATGCTCGGGTAGAAATAACTTTATGAGTGTGTGCATCGCAAGTACGGCTAGACATATTTACAAGATCTGGTCAGTGTGGGAGCTCATGGTAATGGTGATAGGTATGAGATTATTTTCTTCGAGTCAGTTCCTATAACATAAAATGGTTCTCGTGGATTGAACAAATTCAAAAAATGACTGAAATATATATTTTGCGAGGATTTTTGGAGCTTTTAAGCTTTTCTTAATTATCTCAATGATATGTGCTTAAAGGAACTTTCATGGTCATAATTGAACACTAACTGATATGGAGATACGTAAAAGAAATGGAGAAGTTAAATCACAAATATATTCAAGATACACTTCAGTACAGAGTAAACCCGCAAGGAAAATATTGGAGTAATTCCACTCAGAAGCAATGCGGCCACATTCCTCTTCGTTGCTTGTGGGAATATAACTGGCGTTTTGAATCGACATTGTTTCCCTTACGCTTCTTTTGAAAGCAATATGAAAGCAATGAGGAAGCATTAAATTTACTGCCCAACGAAAGCGAGTGTTTCCATACTTTTTTAGAAAATGTATAGCATGCATGGAGTAATGTTTTTAAAAAAGCAGAAGCATCTTGAGAGCACACGATAAGTCGACTCCTAATCAAAGAAAAAGTACTTCAACGCATTTAAAGTTTTCTGAAGTTCCGACATAAATGCTAAAACTTAAACCGCTAAACCTTTTCAGATTTAGTGCCATTTCCTTAAGTAGATTTTAAAATTAATTTGCCTTTTAAACACAAATTTTGTTCTGAAAAACAGGCAAAATAAATTATAAATGCTACTAGAAAAAGCGGTACTTGGGATTATCAACATCTTTTTGTCACCAAAACTTTATAGTCCACTCTAAACGATGAAGCAGCACTAACAGGACTATGATACACTTAATCTATAGAATAGTTTAAGACCATGCGCTGACTAAGGATGAATAAGTTAGAATGTCAACCACCATTTGAGTGTTACGGTTGAAACCTTCGGAAAAACTACTATTTTATAACTTTGACCAAAGTTCCAAAAATCGATTTTAAAGTTTATCAGACTGTTAAAATTTAAAATGACACATTTTCCGAACAAAACTGTGTACTTTTGAACTTTACCAGGCATGGAAATCGTTTAAAACTACAAAAGGAGTGCCACAAGGTTCGGTTGTTGGACATATGATCTGGCACATTATGTATTATAGAGTCCTGCGTTAGAAGTTTCCCTCTGGCTTTGCTAACTATTTACATTCTTCACATGGAAAATAAGGCTGCTGTAATTGTTAAACCAGATTATAATTTCCTTATTTACGAAGGGAACGGCGAAGTTCTCATAAGCAGCCGAAATAGCAAGAATCACAACGGAAAGGCATATGATCATATAATTAACAATCTCACACTGGCCGTTTAGGCTTTTTGGGTTAGGTGTAGGATGGGTTTTCATGACAGAGATAGACTCGTCTGTCGAGGTGCGACCGCTTTTAGAAGAAAACTATTTTTGTATGTTCGTCGAATCAGAATTGAACCCGGCCATGGTAGTCGAACAGTAACTATTCAATACAGAATAACCAAAAGGTAGAAGGTAACCTCAAAAAAGTATTAGTACTACGATGCATGGAAAACAGGAAACACGGTGAATTAAAATTCCAGCCCAAAATGCTTTTGGTGGACACTCCAAGCAGTACTTGTGCTTTTTCGATAAAACTAAGCTTATACATGTAACTAAAGCTAACTGGTAAAACGGTTAAGGGATGTATATTTTTGCACAGAGTTTAAAAGATTACACAGTAGGACGACTCTCAAGTTTTTAAATCACACAAAAATAAAAGAGCGAAACACGTGAACACTTGGCTCGTAGATTACGGTGCTGTATACCGTTTTTCTTGCTCCGGTCATTATCCCACGATATTTTCACTTTTATGAAAAAAAAATCAAATATTAAAAAAAAAAAAATTAAAAAATAACAGTTTTTTGTAAGTTTTTTTTCATTTGTTATAAAGCTTGTTCTTTTGCGATAGATAAATAGACAAGTTGTGAATGCTCAAATGAAAATGTGCATTAATTTTTGCGGATGAAATACTGCATGCCTAAGCAAAAGCATTGGGCGGAGCGTTTTCTGACGCCTAGCGTCAACGCAGAAGTAGAGGTGCAAAAGTAGCGATAGTCAGACCATCGATAGTATTTGAATTTATTTTCAAAACTGTCGGTATATCGTCGAAAATATCGCATTTATATGGTTTTCGCTCAATTTTGGTATGAAGATTTCCTTAAAAATATATTAGAAAATTACGTTTGGATACCATTGTAAACTACTGGAACCTTTGTTTTTTAATTGTTTAACCGGTAAGGTACAGTTATCGAAAATTTGAAATGAATTGAAATTGAAAAAAATTGGGCGTTCTGAAATTTTATATTTGTCAAGGCATATTAAAAAGGCATTCGAGCAAAAACCACATTTGCGTGTATTTTGTTGTTGCTTCTGGTATCGGAAGTGTCAAAAACTGTTTCGATATTTTTCTTCCAAATCAAAGCGAGCCATGTGATATACAAAAAAAAAAAATAAATAAAAATTTAAATTGGAAAAATTAAAATTAAAATTGTTGCATCTTTCTTTCTTAGTAAATTTGTTTGCTTCCCGAAGCATTGATCCATACTTTGCAAGGCCCAAGCATTTGTGCTGCTGAGTTGGGCAAGCGTCCCTAAAGCTGCTATTCAATCGCTTATTTTGTATGGAAAAAGGTTTCACATGCAAATAGATTTTAACAATTTAGAATTTTTGTGAGAAGAAATTACAAATTTTTTACATTTTCGAGACCAAATAATTCAAGGCGAATTTATATAAGGTGGTGTTACTAGCTCAGCTGATTTCGTGTATGTGTTTCGCCGCACGGCTTCTGATATCAAATTGAAAAATTTTGTTTGAATTTCTACACACACTCTTACATATTTTGACAGTTTATGCCGCCAAAGCAAAAACAAAATACATGTAAATTTTTGTTTTTGTGCTCCTGCTATCACCTTATATTAATTCGCCTTGAAATAATTTGAAAAATAAAAAAATAAAAAATCAAACCAGCGGCTATACAGATACTACTTGTTCAATGTACCTTGATATTTGTGGTTTTAGTTTTCCTCCGTCATATATAAGTCATTCATCAAGTAAATTGAAATTTTGGAACAAGAAACCATTTTTTATCTGAAAAGTTACGCTTTTTATTTACCTTTTATTAAATTCTAAATAGTGGTACGTACGTAGGTAATATTGAAAGTTTTGGTATAAGTCTATTTGTATCAGTTTTTTACTGGAGTAAGCGGAATTTTAAAAGATGCAAGGTTTTCCGTCCTTTTCGAAATTTTGCATTACTCTTTTAAAAAAGTACTTAGCAACCAAATTTTCAACTTGGATGTTTAAGAGAAATGAATAGAAAAGCAGAAATACAACTAAAATAAATACTAAATCATATGATGTCTGTCGGACTATCGGTAGGACCAAAAAACAATCTATAGTAGCAAAAAATAAAAAACATCGACACTATCGATAGTTTTGCGTCTCTGCGCAGAACTGCCATGCCTAAACAAAAGCGTTAAAGCAACGTTAAATGCAGAAATAACGCCAACAATAACATACCGTTGACGCCGCGTTATTTCGGTATGCTTCGTACCACGCTTTTGTTTAAGTACATACATATGACAGGTAGGGGCAGAAAAATGTTACTCATACGCCATGTCTTACATGGAGTACTCGTAACTAGTCGTACATTTTGGATAAGTAACATTGCCCATGTTGAAGTTAGATTTTTTTTCGTTCGTGATGTAAACTGGAAATTAAAATATCTTTGGAAAGTGACTTGATATAGAAAAGAGGTGTACAGATCCGCAATCTACGACCCAAAAATATATTCTCGTGTCTCGGCGTTTTTTGTGTGTCATTTCAGGGTCTCTACCGTCTTATTACTCAGCCACCTCTTGTTTAGACTTTAAAGGTTATGGTCATACCATTGACTACTGATTTAGTTAGTTCAGTAAAAAACAAACTACTTAAATATTTAAACACATTTATGCTGGCCCAAACATCTGTTAAAGCAAATTTATATTGGTACTTAAATTTATAATTTATATGAATCAAAATTTATGCGAAATAAAAAAAGTTCGATAGTGACGGTAACAATACACTAACACATTTGATTGGGCGTAAAATTTTAGGTAATAACCCAAAAAAAACCAATTCTGTATTTTTTGTTTAATTTTCATCTAAAATTAGTTTTACACTTAGTTAGCTGTAGTTGTAAACAAGTTTTACACACATTTAGAAGCGTAAGTAATTTTCTGTTAATCAGATAATCTTTTAAAACCGCCACGCGAGAGAGCGAGGTTTAATTCGCAAGTGACTTACGATAAGCGATACATACATACTTCAAAAGTTACACAAAAGGCAAAACGTGGAGATAGTCATTTATGCAAAAGACATTATCTATGTATATACATACAAGAGAAATAATTTTTTGTTTTATTACTCAAAAGCTGATCATGCCCGTCATTGCACCCTGCAAACCCTTACTTATCGAAACGTATTGCTGATTTGTGCTGTTGTTGTTCTGTATTTGATTGGTGTTGGGTGGCAGTGGTGGTGTTGGTTTCCCATTCATGCACCAGAACTAACAAAATATTTACTACAAGAAGGTTCTAAAATTCAGATGCTTAACCAAAAGTGACGAAGTGTTTATTCGTTGGTATGAAAGTTTAAAAAGATAAATAAAATTAGAAAAGAAGGCGTGTTGTTGTTGGCGTTTTAAATAAAAATCAAATATTGTTGAAAAAACCGAGAATATAAGGAATCAAAGCAGTACATGTGAGAGAGTATAATTATAACGTTCTGCTGTTTCTGTTTTTATTTTGGTTTTTGTATTAGTTTCAGTGGCGGTTGCTATTCTTGTTACGCTTATTTGTTGGAAAAGTAGTCATTTTCAATACAATTTCAGTGCGAATAAAATTTTTTTTTTGATATTTTCCATTTTATTTTCGATATACGCCCTAGGATTTTTCTAAATGAATAAAAAGAGTTCTCGTTAAAAAAATTTTGTATATGTGGAAAACACTTTTTCGTAGAAATGGTATAGAATTCTTGAAAATCAATAGCTTTTGCTCGAAAAATTTCTCTTCAGTAGACTTCCAATAATTATAGTGATGCCCAATTGTTTATTTTACCATGTTTTAATGCTACCCATTTTTTATGGGTCCCGTTTATTGAATTTTTGGGGTTTTAAAGGACTTATAAAAAATAGTTAATATTAAAAAATTTTTAAATAAACAATTGGGTATTATTATTGGAAGTCTACGGTTTCAATGAAAAAGTGCTTTTCGCCATTTAAAATACATAAAAAACTTCATTGGATTTGGACAGTTCTTATATATTTTTTTAAATGATTAATTACTCTTTTTCCCATTTAGATAAATCCTAGCGCTGAGAGTTTAACATTGTAAACATTTCGCCCCGCATTTAATTTTTGACCACCCTAATGTACATACATACATTTGTAATCGTGTGAGAAATTGTTCTAAAAAAATTGCAAGGTGTGAATTCAGTTGTTCATTATTTCAATGTAAAATAAGAAATTGTTTGTTCAACTTTAATGTATGTTCATATCCAGCTTAGCTTAGTTAAAAATTGTTACCATCAAAAATGTAATCAAAAGATTTGCTATTTTTTAAACCACAATTTACAGGAAAAATTTTAGAGATTCGGAATTATACGGAAATAAATACTCTTGTGTTTGTATGTATGTATATTCAAAAGTATTCGTACATGTACTCAGATATCGCCGCTTCAGAAAACGGATGTCGTATTTTACAAAATTTAAGAAAATTGACTTCGAATTAATCCGAAACTAAACAGTAGATTTTTGCAGTTTTTGAAGGAGACTTAGTTGGTGTTTTTAGTTTTTATTTTCCATATTTTTAAATTTAATACCTTTTAACGTTAATGAGAAAATTGAATTTTGATTCCACATACATATGTCGTAGGTAGCGTGTACTCACTGCTTTGTTTTGTGACATATATGTATATGTATTTAATAAACAATTCTGTACATCTTTTATGCTATAAATGTGATACGACTTTACGTTTTCCTCTTTATGAAAACAAAAAACCAATACTTAAATTCAGTCCTTTGTACATTTTCATTTCTGTCATTTCATTGGAGACACAGTTGCAAAATTTAAAAAAGGAATTAGTTACATAGTTTAATTTCCAATTTTAATTGTGTCGTTATAGCAGAGGACCATCGAATTGTCGTAAATTCAAAATTTTGCGATAGATACGTCAAATGTCATATGACTAAAAAATACTACGTTTGTACGGGAGTTTTTTATGAATAAAATAAAGTTTGTTTGTTATGCCGTATGTGACGCATTTTCAGCACACACCACAAAAGGCATACCAAATAAGTAATATTATGTAGCATGCGACAAAATGCACGAAAAATATGTATCCTAAAAAATAAGGAGGATATAAAAAATGGATTGCAGAAATCAAAAGAGTATGTCCAACTTAGTAAATCTGCATCAAAATTCCAAAATCGTGATTTTGAACATTCGACATTCGTTTTCTGAGACGACGATGTGTACATATGTAAGTACATATGCATGCATGTCGTCTTAAACTTCTTGGATTGCAATGAAAAGTACGTAACTAAGTTCAGATATAAAAGCCTTTGCTCTTGAAAATGACCTTTCTCTCAAGTGTGTGTGGTAGTTGTTTGTTCACTTTTTTTTATAAAATCATGTAATTATGTAATGTGTTCATTCCAAGCCTGACAAATGCGTTTTTAACATCGATTATTCTTATGCTAACATTTAGTCAGTGCGTATCAAATATGCTGCTCTGCCTATTTTCCAATAATTTGATATCTTGCTCTTAATGTTTGCAAAATTATTTTTAAACTTAACTTCATTGCATTGAAAACGGTGCCCTTATAGCGATAGGAATTGCATACAAAATAGTTTACATTCTCATATTGAATTTGTTTTCTGGCTTGATAAATGTTTGCGTTTTTTTGTGATTTCAAAATAAATATTACCTGTAAATCTTGTTTGGCTGCTTCCGCGCCAGCTCTGGTATGAAATGTGACAAATCCGACGGGCTGTAAATTTGTAATGCAACAAATATGTTAGTGAAGCATTATGGGGAGGGGTGCTGTATCGGGAGCAGGTTGTTGAAACGTTTAAATTACTTACCGATGCAGTTTTTCCATTCTTGCTGGTCACCTTTAAAAGAGATCCTTCGTAGCCCTGTAAGAAAGAAAGCGAAAGTATTTTGGGAAAATGCATGCATTGTCTTACATATTCGTCAAAGTACAGGGATATATTTGGAAAATTCTCTCTTGATATGCCCTTAAGTCGCATTGACCCACATATGACGAAAAAATAGCCACTCTAGGGATTGAACTCAGGGTAATACGATGGCTGCACAAAGCGGTATAATGAGAACCTGTGTTCGCAATGGATAACTGATCAAGTCATAAGAAAATTTAAATAGAAAAATTTATTTCAAATTGTTCTGAAATAACCAGTCGGAAAACATGTAAACTTTCTATTAACCCCTAATTAGGCGCATAAAGAAAATCACACAATTAGTCGCATGGGGTCCCCAGTCACAGCAACAAAAGTGTTGAAAAAAGAGTTTTCACAATAAAAAAAACGGAGTGTGTATTAACAAAAATATTAAAGTACTCTATTATCTTTAACTTAAAAAGCAAATACATATTTTCGACTTCAAACTAAAAAAAAATAAAAAATTAAAAATTTACCTCCCCCATAAAAGATGTATCGTTAGTGGTCGCATTGGGTCAGCACTCAAGCGAGTAGCGACAAATATGTACGCGACGATGTTCTAAGAAAGAAAAGCATAACTTTGACTTCAAACTTAGATACAAAAATAAAAACTTATCTCTGCCAAAAAATTTTACGTAAGTGGTCGCATGGGGTCAGGACTTAAGAGTAGCGTACACGTCGATGTTTTGCCAGTGGCTTATTTACGTACCCCGCCTAGAGTTAGGAAGCTAGAAAGAGCGCGAGCACTCTCCAAGCACTTCAAGACATTTTTTTTTTTTCAACTTCAAATGCGCCTAATTAAGGGTTAAATAAGCTAGCGCAATTAAGAGTTTTATGATTTTGGAACTTTAAGTACGATTATTTTATATCAGCATTTTTGTGAGCTGTTTGGGTTTCACCTAAAAAATTTAAGGGTTTACTATCTATGTTATCGAAAAGATGTATTTAGAGAAAAATATGGTTTGCTATAAATTTGTAAGGTTTTCCCGGTGCATGCCAGTAGTCGACTGAAATTTTATATTTTTTGTCGGATCAACCGAAAAATCTAGTAAATGCAGTACTTTTTGTAATGGCACTCAACAAGGAAGCTATGGAGCTGCCTGAGAATTATTTTATTCCTCGATGTCGAAATATTCAAAAATTTTTTTGGAAGTAGGAGGTCGTAAGCACCCCATAAATTGTTGCATAAGTCTTTTTTTATATAGATTGTAGTTTAATTTCTATTCGAATTTAACCAATTGGGTAAAGGCTTCTTTGAATATACAGTCTAACAAAATTTTGCCTCCCTAGTAAAACAAATCGTTTCTGGTAGATTTCTCCGGGCTAAATCCAAATCTGACCGCGCAATTGCTCTAGCACGTCAAAATAGACATCCTAACCTCAAAGTGATAAAAAGACGGTTTTTGGGGATATTTGAGATTATATTATGAGAAAAACTATTTTTTTTAGCTTATTTCTACTTAGGGAATCATTTGGTATTACTCTTTCCCTTTAAAATTCATTTCCGTATATTGCGATTAAATTTTTCTTTCTCGAGATATATCAGTTTTAATGTGCAGTGCTTCGATATTAGCTATGATGACTCAAATAATACCGAAGTAGTGTATATTAAAACTGATATATCTCGAGAAAAAAATTCAAATCGCACAAAATGAAAAGGGGAAGGGTAGTGCTAAATGATGCCCTAAGTAGAAATAAGCAAAAGAATAGGTTTTTCTCATAATATAACCTCAAACATCGGCGAAACCCGTATTTTCGGCACATTGAGGTTATGATATCTTAAAATCTTGACGTCCTAGAGCAATGAAAATCTACAAGAAATGATGTGTTTTACTCAGGTTGATGAAAAAAAGCAAAATTTGTAGAAGTTTGGTATTATTAGATAGTTTAACGTTATTTAACTGTAGATAAAATTGAAGGCTGTTGCATTTAATTTGATTTCTAGTACGTAATTTGTTTTTTTTTTTTTTGTTTCACGTTTGTTACCTTTAATATTTCAATCCATGGCCCAACAACATGATTTAAATTAATTAGTCGTTTTGATGTTAATGTTGCCAGTAGATATATGTAGACTAAATGAAATGATTGACAAAATAAATATAAATAAAGGTTAATTTTTTCGGAAAATGCCAGGTATCGTGGTTAGAGTTTTGTATTAAATTTTGTTTACTTGGCTTAAGCGTACAATACGGGGCATAAAAACTGCTCAAAATTATGACTATCAATTAATTTGTAGCGGTAAAAAAACTAGGCAACGAACGAACAAACGGTATATTGAATAAGAATAAAAAATTAAAAAATACATTTTAAGCGATTGTGAAAACTGAAAGAAGAAATATGTACATGTATGTTCATAACAAGTACGTATAAAAACGCTGCACACATAAAATCTTATTTTTATAAAATTCGTTAAGTTTTCAGCAAACCCTGAAAATTTCAATGATGTGATTAACCAGTTTTTTCCAAATTAAATATTTAAAGAAGTCCTTACCCTAATTTTCAAATGCGAATGAAAATCAAATTTGAAATTACTTTCTGAAAAACTTATGCCGCCGTTCACAGGATGGTTAGGACTACCTATCTCAAAAAAATAATTTCATACTTCGACAAAAGCCAGCTGCCATCTTCTTAATCAGAAAAAGGGTTCGCAATAATTTTATTTCTTTTCTCAGTTATATAAGTTTACAAACTGCTAAGTATAAGTGGACGAGTTGACATCCCAACCGTTGGTATTTTTCAGTTTTCGGAGATGCCACCGAATATCTGTAATAAGTTATCTTCTCTCACAATTAAACTCCTAACAATCTTGTAGGCTTACTGAATTTCTAAAATAAAACTCATTGCAATAGTAAAGGCAAGGAGAAGAGAGGTATCTGACAGCTGAGCTAAGACAACAGCAGACACAATTCCCCAGTTCCTAACCCATCCCGAAGTGGTCCAAACACGATCAGAAAATTGTACCACCCTATTGCTCATCCTTTGGCCAGCTGCAGTGATGTGTCCTTAGCTGACTCACAAATACAGCAGAGATTATTTTACCCGATTGCTAACTTTGTAGATGCCCTCTTAACCAGCAGTGTCCCGTGTGGACGTCCATGATAGTTTTCAGTTTATCCTTAGACAGGCCAAATGGAAGCCTATATCGCTTCTGGTGGTACCACCAATTAAGCTTTTGACTTAACGAATTTTTGTGGTGCTGTAGCAGTGTTGTTCAAATGCATGTGAAAAAATAAAGTCGGAATATAATTTCTATACTCTCACCCCTGGGATTGTTCTATACCGAAAAGAAATATACCTATATTTTTTATTTTGAAATCAAAAAATATTCAGAGGTCGCTCAAAGCGCTCATGTATTTTATATGGGAAAAATCAACTTTTTGTAGAAATAGTATAGAATTCTTGAAAATCAACATTTTTCGATCGGCAAACTCTATTTATTTTCAGGAGACTTCCAATTATAATACGCAATTCCTTATTTAACCATTTTTCCATACTAACCATATTCTATAGGTACAGTCTCCTGAAGAGGATCAGAGTTTTCCGATCGAAAAATATTGATTTGCAAGAATTCTATACTATTTCTACGAAAAGTGGTTTTTTCCCCATATTACATACATGGAAAACTTTAAGCGCTTTGAGCGACCTCTAAATATTTTTTGATTTCAAAATAAAAAATAGTGATATATTTTTTCCAATATACAGCAATCCTAGGGGTTAGGGGATTAAAAATCCGACTTTACTTATTTTGGACCACCCTAATGAGCAACCTATGTATATACTTAGGTATGCTTATCGTATGTACCTGTTCTAAACTTTCTGGCGATTTTAGGACCAAACGAGGTATTGAGTGCACAATAGATATGTAAGGTCACTGTGCATATCTATTTTAAGTATTTATCCTATAGTATACAGTATATTTTGCTTTGCTGCCTTTATGCTTAAGTGCACATTTAAGATACCTACCCCAAAATGTGCATCAGAGGAATTATTTTAAACATTTATAAGGAAACTGCTCCGATAGATGCATTCAACATACCTGCACATTGGCGATACCTGCCTTAAAAATTGTGCAACTAGTATCAATTATCAAAGAAAGTATTACGTTTACCTGCACTGACCCTACAATTACCTAATTTTACAATCTTTTATTTATTTTGCTCATCTCGTGGAACAACGAAAATGGCTATCAATTTATGTAGTTATATAGATAATTAGATACTATTCGGTAAAAATTTCGCTTGCAGTAATTTCTACGTGGTAAGTGCTTCTCCATTATTTGGTTTCATAGGGATTTGTATACCTTCCTCATTGAAGTAGTAAAGAAAATTCGCTTAAGTGCCTTTTTCGGTTAAGTGCACAAGTTTTTCGTGCAAAGAAGGATGTGCAGCTAAGCAAAATATACTGTATATCTAATGGGCTAAACAAAATTTATCATAAGTTGCAGCAAGTGGCTCAGTATATTCCTGATATAAATTAAATATATTTATCTGCCGGTGGTTAAAGGTGCATACTGCCACTGCGTAGGACCTCGGTTTGATCCCTCGTCCGGGAAAATTTAAATTGGAAAACGTTTTTTTTTTTAAACTGCGGTCACCCCTCGGAAGGCAATGGCAACCCTCCGAATGTACTTTTGCCATAAAAAACCTTCCCTTAAAACCCATTTTCCGTTCGGAGGCGGCATAAAACTGAAGGTCCCTCCATCAAGACTCACAGTTTTTGCACGTATTTTGAGAAGGAGATAAACTACAAATAGAGCGACGTGCCACCTGGCCTATTCTACTTGTTAACGAACACTTTGTAACCGTGAAATTTTGTTAGCAAAAAACTACATCACTTCTTTTAACCTTAATTGTAGGTACCTTTTTATTTATTCAGCAATTCAGCTGTGAAGTTTTGAAGAAATTCTGGTGTTGCATGTTTCGTGGGGCAATATTTTGTTAGCTGCTTATGAGAAGGTAACAAAATTTACCGGTTAAAAGAGTGCGCAGAACAAAAAAAAAACGGGTTAAAAATTTAAAGGAACTTTATTTACCGTTAAGAAAAAATCGTTTGCATCACTTCCATGTCGGCCTTATGGAATGGAAATCGTGCTTACTACAATCGCCGGGGCGCTTGACGGCCGGCTTATTTAAAACTGTTTATGGGATCAATTGAGTCTATTAAAGTGCTCCTAATTACAATAATTTAACTATTTATTACCTCAAATTGTTTGTTTAAAATATTTACTTATAGCCTATCGCTTTTCTAACTACCTCTGAACTGACTACGCGACAGACCGGATTACTCACCTCGTAAGCTCTGAATAATAGGTAAAGTTCGCGTGGTTTCGCGTCCATTGGCAAACCGCTGACGAAGAGGGTGCGAACCTGAAAAGAAATAGAAAAAAGGTACGCATTAAAACATCAGCTTAAATAAACTAGGTGTACCTATATGGAAATAATTCAGTTAAATCGCACTACGATTTAAATACATAAAAGCAATTTTCCATGACAGCGTAATTAACTCACACCTTCGGTTTGATGATGCAAGCACCCCTCAGCGGAAAAGTCACCCACACACAGTTACATACATACAAATGTATGCATGCAATGCAAATTAAAATGTTTAATGGGTTGAGAGGGGCGAAAAGGTCTGCGTGTTTGTAAATGCAAATGTGTGAGTGCACTTTCGTCCTCCAGAAAGTTCATATGTGATGTTAGCAACAACAAAATAAAAATGAATACAAAGAAAGCTGAGCATAGTAACAACAATGAGGAAACCGAAATAGCAACGAAGCAATTACA